GGCAGGGGTTAGGTGTGTGGCCGGAGCTAAGGGTTAGGTGTGTGGCTGGGCGCGGGGGATTAGGTGTGCGGCCGGGCGTGAGGGGCTAGGTGTGCAGCCAGGCCCAAGGGGCCAGGCGGCAGGGGTTAGGTGTGCAGCTAGGTGCGAGGGGCCAGGCGCGAGGGGTTAGGTGTGCAGCCGGGTACAAGGGATCTGGTGCGAGAGGCCAAGTGTGTGGCTGGGCTCGAGGGGCCTGGTGCGAGGGGCTGGGTGTGTGGCTGGGCGTGAGGGGTCAGGGACGTGGCCAGGTGTAGGGGGTCGGGGGTGCAGCCGACCATGAGGGGTCAGGGACGTGGCCAGGTGTAGAGGGTCGGGCGTGCAGCCGACCATGAGGGGTCAGGGACGTGGCCAGGTGTAGAGGGTCGGGGGTGCAGCCGACCATGAGGGGTCAGGGACGTGGCCAGGTGTAGGGGGTCGGGGGTGCAGCCGACCATGAGGGGTCAGGGACGTGGCCAGGTGTAAAGGGTCAGGGGTGTGTCTGGGCATGAGGGGTCACAGATGTGGCCAGGTGTAAGGGGCAGGGGTTTGGCCAGGTACGAGGGGTCAGAGATGCAGCCAGGTGTAAGGGATTGGGGGTGTGGTGGGTTTGAGGGGTCACAGATGTGGCCAGGTGTAAGGGGTCAGGGGTGTGGCCGGGCGTGAGGGGCCTGGCACAAGGGGCAGGGACTGTGGTAGAGTGCAGTATGTCCTGGGAGTTGGCGGCACAGGCTTGTCCTGCCAACCTCTTGGTCTGTCCACCCATCTGTCTGTCCATCTGTGCATCCACCCGCCCATGCATGGAGATAAAAACATAGGAAGGAGAGCAAGGGCCTTTCCGGGGACGCCGCCGCCTGCTGAGGCAGCTGTGGAGCAAGGGCGCGGGTGGATGGCTCAGGTCAGGTCTCGTATTTGGCTTGCCCCGGGCAGCCCTGGAGGAAGTGATTTCTTCAGAGCGGCCGGCCCGCCCCACCGCCGCGGACTCCACGCTGGTCTGTGTGGCATTTGCTGGACGTGGTCTCCTCTCGGGAGCGGCCCTGGCGGTGTCCCCAGGTCCCGAGATCGTCTTGGTAGCTGCCTCTGTCCTCGTGTGTGACGGTGTCCTCTTGGCACGCGTGGCACCCCGTCTCTTGGGGGACACAGGAGGGTGCTGGCGGGAGCTGGTGCCCACGCTAACCTCTGGGGTCTGTTTTATTTCCCTCTCTTCTCTGGGTCCTTGCTTCCTCCTGTTTGCAGTGTCTCACTTTCTAAAAGGTAGGTCTGCAGGCATGCCTCGAGCTGGCGCCTGTCTCTGCTTGGCCGTCTGGGGCCCCACTGCACGCCCCGGCTCTCAGGGCTTGGCTGCCTCGCGGGCCTGGCTTCCACGGTGCTGCCTCTGAGCCTGACTGCCAATGAGATGTCATCTGCCCGTCTGTCTGTCTGTCTGTCTGCTTGGCTGCCTCCGTGGTGCTGTCTGTTGGTGCTTGGCTGACCCTGAGCCTTGTCCCGCCACAGCTGACTGACTCTGTCCCGATTTCTCAGAGGAGAGGGCATTTTGTCCCATGCAGGCTGGGTGTTGTCCCCACCGTGACTGGGGTGGGAAACAGGACCCTGGGGGGGAGCACTGCCCCATCGCTTCTTGATGCCATGTGAGAACCAGGTGTCAAACCTGGATGCGCTGGAAGGCCCCTGCAGGCTTGGCTCAGAGAGGCTGGCGAGGGGGCACGGGGGGTGCAGGGCAGGGGTGGGTGGGCAGTGGTCTGAGCTCCGCCACTCCCCCAGGCAGTTCGTGCACTTGGCTGTGCACGCAGAGAACTTCCACTCGGAGATCGTCAGCGTGAAGGAGATGCGGGACATCTGGTCGTGGGTCCCTGAGCGCTTCGCCCTCTGCCAGCCCCTGCTGCTCTTCTCCTCACTGCAGCACGGCTACAGCCTGACCAGGTAGTGCCCGAGGCCCGGCGGGGCTGGGACACAGCTTGCTGTGGGGCCGTTCTGCACACCGACCTGCGGGGGTGGACGCGGGGCCATGGTAGGCCTGCGAACGCTGGGTGCCCTGTCCACCCGTGGGTGGCCCCAGGGACCCAGGAGAGGTGGCCCAGGCAGAGCTGGCTCAGCCCCTGCTGTGAGTCTGCTGTAGTCCAGTAGCGTCCCCCCGCCCCTTCTCTGTGCTCCAGCCCCCGAGGACATGGAGCCTGCGGGGTGGGGCACCCTCTGGTTCTGGCTTCCCTGAAGCACCAGCCGCAGCACCGCCCGTGGGGCCCGTCCCTGTGAGTGCCGTCACAGGGCAGCCTCTCCTCTGAGCCTGTGGGAGCACGGCCCAGGCACCGAGGACTTGGGGCTCTGCGGAGGGCCCCTCAAGAACATGCTCAGGTCCATGGCCACCCACCTGGTCCCGAGGAGACCAGGAAGCTCAGTCCCCAGGGCTCTCCGCCCAACGGCCTTGGGTCCTTGGGCCCCGGGGGCTCCAGTCCCTGCAGAGGCTGGTTGGGGTAGCCTGGGAGGGAGTGCAGGGAGACACTGCCGTCAGGGGCTGGCACGTGTGATCTCTGCCCCCAGGTTTTACTTCCAGTGTGAAGGCCATGAGCCCACCCTCCTGCTCATCAAGACCACGCAGAAGGAGGTGAGGAGGGGCAGGAGGGGGCTAGGAGGGGGCGTGAAGGGGAGGAGGGGGGTGAGAAGGGGCAGGAGGGAAGGAGGAGGGGCAGGAGGGGGCACGGAGGGGCAGGAGAAGGGGCCGGGGTCTAGCTTCGGCTAACATCCCGTTCTTCAGACCCAGTCAGGTGTCTCCTGCTCCTAGGCTGGCTCGGGGGCTTCCTGGGCTCAGGGCCAGGCCAGCCCTCCAGAGAGGCAGGCCGGCAGGGGAAGCCACTGGCCTCATTCTCACATTCGAGGTCCAAGAAGGAAAAATGAAAGTGTCCCAACCAAGCCTGACATGGGGGGGCCAAGGCAGCCTGCCCTCCCCCCGACTGCCACCCCCTCCCAAACCCCGGTGGGAGACGGGCCTGGTGGCTTGTTGTGGCAAGGTGACTGTGTCACCGCCCCACACTCTGATCTCCCCCCACTGTCATCCACTCAGCCCCTTGCCCCCCAGCAAGGGCGACACCTGCAGGCAGGGCCCCTCACCTGGGCCTCTCTCCCCAGGTCTGTGGAGCGTACCTGTCGACAGACTGGAGCGAGAGGAATAAGTTTGGGGGCAAGCTGGGCTTCTTTGGGACAGGAGAGTGCTTCGTGTTTCGGGTGAGTGGGGCTCGGCCTGGCTGGGCTTAGCCACCCCACGCCCCATGGGCCCCTGCCTGACCTGTGGCCAAGGCTTTAGTCAGGAGCTGTTTCTCTCTGAGGGGACCACAGCCACGCCTGTGCTGCCACGTGACTGGTCTGTATCCATCATAGCAGTCCCCCCTCCAGGATGACCTTCCGCTTCTGGTTTTGGTTGTAGAGTCTCTGCCCGTGTGGCTGCATATGGCTCTGGGGGGAGGTCTGTGGGCTGGGGTTGGCTGTACTCAGCCCCTTAGCCTATCTTCCACCCACAGCTGCAGCCCGAGGTCCAGCGCTATGAGTGGGTGGTCATCAAGCACCCAGAGCTGACCAAGGTGTCATCCCTGATGTCCTCAGAGACCACCGCCACCCCCGCCCTGCCCGGCCACTCCATCTCCACAGACCCCGCTGACCGCCTCTCGCCGTTCTTGGCCACACGGCACTTCAACCTGCCCTCCAAGACAGAGTCCATGTTCATGGCTGGGGGCAGTGACTGCCTCATCATAGGTGGGCCCACCCCCACCCAGACTTGGGTTTTCTGAGCCCCTGGCAGAGGGGGGGCACTGTGCCTTCCCTGGGGGCAGGCAGGACCCTGGGACGGCAGAGGAAACCCCAGGTCGTCAGGGTGGAGCAGCCATGAGGGATGGGAGTGGGGGCGGGCGGGTGGATGGGCTGGGACCCGCTCACAGCACAAGTCAGCCTGGGCTGTGAGAAAGGCTTCTCAGAGCAGCTGGGTGGGGGACCCTGAGAGGCTCACCAGCTCCAGGTGGGGACACCCAGGAGGCGATGGAGATGGCCCAGGGGACAGTGCTGAGGGGACAAGGCCCCGGGGACAGTGCTGAGGGGGAGATGGCCCAGGGGGCAGTGCTGAGGGGAGAAGGCCCCGGGGAAAGTGCTGAGGGGAGATGGCCCAGG